CACATTGGCAAGTGATCGTATCTTTTTGGAGATTATCTGCACTGCAGATATTTCCACGAGTATCAAGCAGTTCCTCCAATCGTCTCCATTCGCCTTCCTTTATGGTGGGCAGGAAGAAAATAAAAGCGTCTCAGGTCTGTTAAATCAATGAAAAAACAGTGTAAACTCAAGTTAAATTCATATTATTCAAACTTATCTGGTTAACTGCTACAAGCAGATCAGGTGAGGGTTTAAGGAATCAACAGGACGACCACATGTAGGTAACGGATTTTTCTCTCAAAGTTATCCGGACACACGTGAGGGAAAGAGCGGGAGTGGTGATGCGTACGTGCATGCGTGAGTGCTCACGTGCCGACGAGCGTCTCTGACGCGTGTCTCCACTCATTTGCATGTCCCAGCTCATTGGCCTCCCCGCCTGGAGGGAAATGACCGTGATCACCAGGACGCCCTTGTCGATGGCAGCTTCAGGGTGGAAAGTGCTGACCGCCACACTGTGCTCTGACACCAAACGGTGGACGTCAGGGGGGGGGGGCGAACATCGAACGGAGAGGTGAGTGATGCTGAGTGAGCACCTGTATCCCCCAAACTCCGTCCAATTATCCCGCCGTATTCACTACGCATCCCTCCCTGTTCTCACCAGATTAGACTACTGCTCGGGGGGGGAGGCGTGGGAGGGAGGGCCTTGGCCAACTGTCAGGGCGCCGCCGCCAGCTGCCGTCCCCTTTGATCACCGCCCAGAGGTCGCCCTGTGTGGAGCCCCAACGTGGGGTCCCGGGAGTCAACGGAGCTGTGGAGTCACCTTTAAAGCATAATAAGGAGACTGCTGACTGACTGCAGACCACCCAGAGGGGGATTCGTGCTTTTTTCGCATGAATATAAATGTAAAATTGACAGGAAATCTTCCCCGGGAGAGAGGAAGGAGAAGACAGGCAGGGGAGACTGAGCCAGGGAAAGGTGGTGAGAATAAATGAGAAGGTGCGGGAGGACTGAACACTGCGGTCCGCTTCACACCGTTACACCGTCTAAAGCATCCGTCGGTGACTACTGGTTGATGGGCCGGTGTGAGAGATTCTTATCATAAACATTTTGGATTCACTTCATGGAGGCACGTTAATGACGCTTTTAGCATAATTTCCCCGCTGTAATGTGAAGTGAAGGGCAGGCGGCGCCTTTCTGTCTCCCTGTAGCCGCCGTGAACCGCATAAATATCGGCCATGGGAACCAAGAGGCACACTGCACGGAGACGCACGCCGCTGCCTAAAATCAAGGCAAAAAAAAATATCCTCGTCAAATGACAAGAGGCTTTGTGTAGCATTTGGAAATGTGCGAAATTTACCTTTTCCTCACAAAATAATAATAAATAAATACCGTGGAAGGAGACAAGACTTGACATGCCAGGAAACAAAAATAGAAACCAGGAGGGAATTTTACCTTTAAAGGAAAAAAGATTAAAACAAAACAATCTACACGCATCTCAGCGAGCAACACTGAATTCCTGGTCAGATCCAAAGACGGCAAATGTCAGCTTCAAGCTTATATTGGCCCTAATGCGTGTAACATCAAACCAGGGGGTACATTGTCAGAATCCATATGATGTCACAGAGTTGTTTTGCAAATTCTTGGCTCCCAAAACAGAGAAGACAAGAAAAAAAAAAAAAAGGACAGCTTTGTTTTCATCCGGCCCGTTATCAGCCGAAAGCCGACTGCAGCCAGAATGGGGAGGGATGATTTCCATAAAGACTGGCTGTTGTCTGAAAGCAAGCAGCTGTCAGGCGGAATTACCTCTCCGACACAGACACCACAATCGAGGGCGCCCTTCCCATAATACAGTCTGATTGGCTCAAGGGGAAAATGGCAGCCTGCGGAGAGTGAGGCGAGCGGCTGGCTGACAGGTTTGCATCGGCGAGGCGTTTACCTGTTATCGTTCCGTCTGCTCCGCGTGTCAGTTTTCACAGAGCGGAAAGCTACCTGAACAAAGTGACACGATGAGAGGAGGCGAATGTGAGCCTGTACTCAATGTCGCACGCACGCACACCTTTGTGTTAAATGCATCTTTTATCCGTTTTAGATACACTGTCTTGACCTGTTATTCAAGGTCAAGACAGTGTTATGACCTGTTATGGGGGTCTGATTTTCTCGAACAAGACTTGGACCCCCTAACCTCACCAGACTTCACCCAAACCCTCAATTTTCATTGTGTGATTCACACAAAGAACATTAATTAACATTAATCTTGCTAAGCTTAGCTTAGCTTAGCAATACGACTTCAAAGAAACAAGCATCTAATGAATACTACCATATTTTGTTTGTTGTTTAATCTTTGAGCATCCCGTATTAATGCTATGCTAAGCTAATCAGCTCTTGGCTCCATAGGCAGGAGTCAATAAACCAGCCAAACCCTGATCTTCTATCAAACCTAACCTAAGTAGTTTGTTGCATTTCTGTTTTAATTTTATTCACAACCTCAACCTGTTCCTCAAATCTGCCACCGTAGTGAATTATATTTGTGTTTTAATACAGGCTACCTGTATTAAAACATAATATAATATAATATATAGAATATAATTCCCTTTTATTCGTAGGGGAATGTAATTTTAGAGGAGAGGTATCATGATCGAAAACCTCTCAAATGTCTTATTGGTTGAGTGAACATACACAAAAACCACGATCCATGTGTACTGTATACAGATACAGACGCAAACCTGCACGGATATACACTCACAAACACACACACACACACACACACACACTCCACACCTATGATAAGTGCTCTTATCTGGGGCTTGTGTGGAGGTGAGTGACAGGAAGGGAGGTGCAGGGGGGAAGTGTCCTTTAGGTATCTTAATTATGGCTCCTCTCCTCCCTCTCGCTGTCACCGTCCCCGGGGGAGGGCAAGACAAAAGGAAGGCGACGTTTCATCTCTGCTGCCTTGGTATTTCAAATCCCAAAGGGAGTAAGAGGAGAGAGACAGCAGGGTGTTACATCGGAGGCAGAAGAGGAAATCAAGTTCCTCTCCGTTTCTCTCTTCTTGCTTCCATTTGCAGCTGTGCTTAAAATAAGGAACCTCAATAAAAGCGCTTTAATGGCGTCAAGGCGGCAAAAAAAGGCGCAACTTGATTACCGTGACGGTTTTATTTAATGAGCTCAAAGCCTCTGGCTCCGACTAGCTATTACTTTGTTGCGGAGAGATATATGTGACAAAGCGGAGCAGTGGGAGTGAGAGAATGAGGCTGAATGACGTATTGTGGAAGTCGGCTGTGGCGTTGGCAATCGTCTTTGCCATTTACACCTTCCTCGAAGCGCACCTGGGTTTTTCATCCGGCCCCACCGGGGGGAACACTGCTCCGCCATGGAGTGTCAGAGACACCTTGGCAGGTAGGCAGACACAAAGACAGCCTGCTGTTAATTATTGAGGGGAATAAATTGCACCCGCCGCATACCTGGCAGGGGAACACACGGTGGATGTGAATACAAATCTGTATACGGATGTGAGAGAAAGCGGCGGTAAGGGGCTACAGAGAACGCTGAGGGGGCACGGCAGAGGAGCCGATGGAGTGATGGGCGTGATGCGAGGAAAGGAGACATCGGAGAGACGGAGAGCGAGTCTATAAAAGCAAACTACTCCTTAATGCCTCTCACTAGTGTGATAAAAGCACACCGCTCCGCCACAGAATGCTGGCCTTTCTATTTGTGTGAACAGAACAATGGATCATTACAAAAAAATAAACTATTATACAGACATGCTAATAGAAAAGGATTTTATGAATGTGACATGCACAGCGTTGCAAACAAACATCCTGACAAAGGTCAGCGCTTTAGATTTGGGACCCCAGACCTCTCTCATGAACATATTGACTGAGAAAAAGGGAGCAATGCAAAGCAGGCGTGTTAAAATAAGCTGGGCAAAGAGCACGGGCGTCTAATCTGTATTCTGAGAGCCAGGCCTCTTATAAATATTGGAAGAAGGACACTGGTGGGAAGAGGGAACGGCCAAATGGTGCATTTGAGAAATGGCACACCTGAGCTCCTCGCGGAATATCATCTCCTCCTGTCAGATCTCATCCCATTTGATCAAAATAATTGCCACCTTCATCGTTATCATCAATTCTGTCATCTGCGCTGGCGCCGTCGCCACGCTCCGTCTCATCGGGGCTTCTTTGGCTTCAAGGAGGAAGGATGGTGGGGGGGGGGGGGATTCTGGATTGGATCAAATGCTGAGGAAATCGCTCATAGTCATCAGCATATTCATTGCTTTAATGCTACTGACATTTTGCTCACCTATTTAAGTATTCTGACAGCAGCAAATCCAGCGCTGGTACAGAAATAGCCCGGTTTAGCCATGTGGGCTCGTCCATCACAGAAGTCCGCAGAAAGAGAGCCCCGCTGTGCTTAAAGTCTACGATGAGTCTCTCTGCATCAGCCCCGCAGTGAAAGATTTTAGAGGAGACAGATGAGGAAAGGACAACTGCTGTCCTGGTCTGAGGAGTCGACGTGCACTTGTATTGTAATGTCACGGATATTCTTTTGGGCACGACCAAATATTAAAAAAACGACATTAGGTCCCAAACTTAATCTCAGGCCACACTCCTCCATGTGTGTGCAACTCCTCTGCTTCCGCGTGCTAAGAACGCAGGGCGGCGCGGCCGGGCCCACAGCTCTCATTTTGGTCCCCAGTCAGTCTGCCGTGAAACGAAGCCACAGACACACATGACCGAGTCCACGGGAGCACTTGAAACAAGGGACCACATGTGCAGGTCCCGGTCTCGATGGTGAGGAAGCCATACCAACGCGGCCATTGGCCCTTGTGAGTCATTGGGACTTTTTATGGGCGTGTGTTTATGGACAAAACCAGTTTCGGGGAGCCTTCAGATCCATCAGTCCGCGAGGTGCGTGAAGTGCACACCGTTAAGATCCCCGCGGGGAGCAAGACGCGCAACCAAAGTGCTAACAATAGCGCGCGGGGAAGTGGCGGCGCCAAGTTGTTTTTAAACACTCCTTACCTTGGCCATTTGGGCCTGCACCCCGGTGGCTTTGAGGGAGGACACGGCCTTCTGCGCTGCAGCTGGGCTGTCAAAATCCACAAAGCCATAGCCTGCAGAGAGCGGGAGAGAGAGAGAGAGAGGAGGAGAAAGAAAGTCAGGCATTAGCAAAGACGAAATGAAGGCTGATGACTAACAAGGAGAGTGACAGGCGCTTGGTAATTGTAGCAGTAATAGGTTGGTAACATGACTACAGAGGCTGCCAGTTCTCATATCTGGTGAGCACTACATTGTTTGATAATTAGCGACACTGACGTTCATAGGGGGATGCTATGCGTCTTAATTAGAAGCACGGATGAGCGATTTAGTAATAACCAACCCCGGCACCCTGCCCACCTCCACCTCCACACACACACACACACACACACACACACACACACACACACACACATATACATGCACGGATACACAAACAAAAACGCACTAGCGCCGAGCGGCGTGGAGAAGAACACAGGCTGTCGCCGTTTTTACTGCTCGCACTGGGGAAAGTCCACATCAAAGGGGGTAACACGCACACGTATCATTGTTCTTGTTCAGCCTTTTGATTTTTCAGATGCTGTGAAGCTGGCCGACCCACATCGTGTTCCTCAACGGCCGGCGTATTTAAGACAGCCTCATTCCCCAGCCCGCGTAATCCTCTCCTCGGTAACCAATCTCTCAAAGGTCGACAGCGCGCACCACAGATGCTGCCTTCTCCCACACAAACACTTATCCTTCTCAAACGGAGCCTTCCTGTCCACCTACTTAGCGTCCTTGCCCCTCTCCCGTCTCTAAACCACTATTCTCCACCCCGACATTAACAGCCCCCATTCCGGAAATCCATCAAAGGGAGGAAAGCGGAAGGGAGCGAAATCGGCGGCCGTGATTTATGAGTTATTGTGATCCCGGCGTTCTGCGGGATGTATCAGAGACGGGAGGTCACGTCTGTGTTAATTAAAATTTGGTGTCGGATTAAAAGCAGTCAATGGGTGCCCTATGATCCACTGTTTCAGAGGGAAAGTGTAATTAGAAAAGGATAATGGGTGTGAGGCGGAGGGGAGGGAGGGGGGGCAGCTGCCGTGGTTAGCCCATCATGTTACAGGCGATTGCACGCGTTTGAGTCCACACGTGCGCGTAACACATCACTTTCTCACCATGTGTTATTTCTAAATAACACAAAGGGGGGAGGAGGAGGGTGAGGCGGTGTGAAAATCATAACCTGTGTTGGGTGTCGATTCTCGTGTGGGAACGGGTGATGGCCAGCTGTTGGGGGAGGGGGTGGGGGGGTCGCAGGGACGGTGGGCTTAATTATCGAAATATGAGGAGCGAGATATAAAGGACTCCGCTGGAGGAGACAGCCGGACAAAAAAGTAGCATTTGTTTAAAAATGTATTTATTCTTACAGGAGCCACCAGATGTGCACAAGTACAATAATAAACCAAGAAATGAGCAATTGAATATTTTTTTTATTCAACATCATTTTTTAAATAAGGTATAACTGGACTCATTGGAGCAGCTTATAAAAGAGCTATTTTCATTTTGAAGGTCGTTTCAACCAAATAAACATATTTTCTGTCTCGCCTCAGCACATCTAACCCCGGGGATAATTTAGTTGTTTTTCTTTAAGTGTTTTTTTTGGATTTTCTGCCTCCTCCCAAATACACAATGAGGTGAACCGACCTTTGAGGGCAATCAACGTGGGCAGAGTTTTTTTGAAGACTTCTTGACCCTCGTTTCCCCACATGGCCTCGTGCCAACGGCATTTGGACGAGGCCGACTGTTTCCAAAAGAACTTTGTTCAAGATCATGCGCATACGCTCGATACGATCTATCAATCGATGCGCGGAAGCAGCGCTGTCCTCTTTCCGTAATACCCTCATGGAGCCGACTGGAAATCAATTTTTTGTCTAGTAAATATCCTGTCCGTCAGCAGGGGAAGCTTCTCTGTCCGCCGTCCTCTCAAGACAGCTGAGGTTGTTTCAGTGAGAGTGAGACGTCGTGACTGCGGAGGCTTTACCTTTTGATTCACATCGTTGCTGTTCTCATTACACTGCTCACTCAGGCCCCCGGCACGCAACCCCTTTTATGTTCAGGGTCGTCCCTTTAATTCGCCGCATGTCCCCGTTTCTCTGTGTCTGTATTTGGAAAGTCACGTTGCTGTTGAATCTTTTAAACGCAATTTAACGCTGCGAGCGTGCGCCACAGAACAGAAACTCCTTTCCCCTCAGTTGCACTGAGATGGAGGCTGGGTAAAAAAAAAAAAAAACTACCTGCATGGCTACACACGACGGTTTCCGTGGGTGAACTCACCCTTCATCCGAAACAGCATTCTGTGTGGGTCTAAGAACATATTCAAAGCACGGCGCCGGCTGGTTCTCTTTAATATCGGAATATACCTGGGACCCCCAATTGCAAATTTAATACTCGCCCCGCTACCACAGAGAGTGCACTTATCAAACTTTCAGCAGGATGAGGATTTGAGAGAACGCTGACCTATATTCACACGCCTCTGAATGGATGAAGAGGTTGAGGGGGGGTGGGTGGGGGGAGGCAGCGAGAGACCGAGAGAAAGGGTTTGCTACAACAGACAGGCAGCATGAGGGAGTCCGCTGAACGCAGTGAGGGGGACTGACTCGACACGCAGCCATGGCGGCCCCCAGTAATGGTTCCAGTGTGCTCCTCGCCTGTGAACCACCTGTCGCCGTTACGCGCGTGATGATTGCATAACGTGGCCCCCGCTTGACCCGCAGCCGCGGGGTTAAAACTGTGAGCGGCTTGTTGTCGGAACGAAGCGTAATAATCGGCCGACAGCTTCAGTCCGTTTGTGCTTTTATCAGGGGGAATAACTGTGGAGCATCTTTGTTTATGTGTGTGTGTGTGAGCTCTGCCATAGAAGTTAAGTGGCTCATCCTCACAGTTCAAAGAGCAAACTGCAAGTTGAAACATTTACCAAACCTTTTTTTGGGACAAATGTGTGTACTAGATATGTGCCGGCCTCTTAGAAAAGGTTTGTTCGTTTTAGTTTGACTTCAACTTCCAGACATTTTAGGCATAATTATACCTGTTGAATCCAGCGTATTTCATTGGACATGTATTCAAGGACGACACTTAATGGTGAATACAGAAGCAACATTTGACGCAAAAATGTGAATTGTCCAGTAGCAGCTGTTTTTGTCAATTTACTGGGTTTGAGGAGGTGTCACTGTCCCTAAAAGAAGGTTGTTTGGACGTTTTACTTTCAAAGAAGGAACACTGGATACACGTCACCTCAACAATAGGATACGGAGAAAGACAAAGGGTTTTCAGTGAATTTGTGCTAAACATCGATTGGAAATACACTCAATACTTTTGTGCACCATGAATATGTATAAGCAAAATACTGCATGGAAGATGAAAATTTCCATACCTGGAATTCTACATAGTGGCTCCTGTAACATAATGTAAAGTCTTTTGATTGGCTGTGGCTGCAGTCATGTTGGTTTAGAGTTTTGATTTGCTGAATTCATTCAGAGTGTACACAAATACTGTGTCAGTGGTTGTGTGTGTGCAGCTCCTGTATTTTTGTTGTTTGGTGAGTCGTCAAGCAGAAGAAACAGTCCATTGAGTTGTGAAGGAGGAGCGGGGTTAAGAAACACAAAATCACATCTTACATGTTTGAACAACACGCGCACACAAACACAAACACAAACGCACACACACGGATGTGTTTCCTGAAGCCAAGTACATGCTGTCCTCCTACTGTATTCAATGCAGTCTCCCATCTTAAGTGGGATGCAGAGGGCACAGTGTTGCTTTGAAGCCTCTGCAACAACACAAACATCCAATCGATAGCTGTCACTTAAAAGCGGCTCAAAGTGAATGACTGCATACGTGGTCGCTGATAATGGTGTGCAGACGCACACTAATGTGAGCCCACGCACACACACACACAAACGCGCTGCATGTACAGACACACAGACGGTCTTCTCTGAGGGGAATAGAGAGAACATGAGCTGCCGGATCATATTTCCTGGTCTGGCTGAAACGGGGAGCCTGTCAAGATAAAAGCATCGTCTTCAATCAGTTACTACAGGACGGGGCTCAGCTACCACTGTTTCTACTCTACTGCGGGGCCCAGTGGCTCTTCTCCCATGGGTGTGTGTGTGTGTGTGTGTGTCAGAGGCAGGGCGCTCCCTAACGCAGGTGTACAGTATAGATGATGCCACCCGAGGCTGCGCTCAGCACTAAAGTCTTCAGTGGAGAGCGGAGATAAGGGACTCATTACAGGGCGCGTATCGACGTATCAGTCATCCACACATCATTCATGCGCCGTCAAATTATGCTAATCCTAATTACTTCTGGGGAAATTAGCATTTTTTATCTGATAATAGTAGGATTGTTTGGGGTTTCCTAGCCACCACATCCACCATCATTTTCTCCAATATTTTCCATTTTTCACATTCTAATATTGAGCGCTAATGATCCCATTTTGCACCGCATACAATGGGATAATAATGCCCTAAGTATGAATAATGAACCAACGACAAGTCACGTAAAATTACAATGGCGCACGGGGCAAACGGGGTAATTGTTTACGTCCTTGTGAGTCATCAAGAGGAGGGCGGAAGCTGCTGCTGCACACGGGATATTAATCATCGTGGTTACACCAATCTTAATCCGTAGTTTGCATGTATAAAAGTAATTATGGTTAATGGAGGAGATAGATGCGCGGCGCCATGGACAAATATGCATAACAATGCCTGTAATACGATTCTTATGATTCATGGAGCAGCCGCAGCACCACATCACGTTCCTTCCTACACTTTGGTCATTGTTAAAACCTCGCTCGGCTTCCCAACCGCCAACATGGGACTTTTCTTTGAGTCAACACTGTTGGTGCAGTAGTATGTGGTGCTAAAAGGATCAAGTCAAAACATACATTTTGTTGATGAATAGTAAATTGTGAGACACTTAGTTAATACTTCAGTTTGTAAACTGTCTGAGAAGAGTGAAAAAACAGGTTTCCAGAGGCCAAGGTGGTTGAAATAGATTCAACAATATACTAAAATACTTTTCAACTTCCCATAACCCAAAT